CAATGTGGTGCAACACACTCACACTCAACTCCATCTCACCATCGTCCGCACAAACACACACACCACCACCACAGAACACAGCAGCACACACACACTACACACACACACACACACACACACACACACACACACACACACACACACACACACACACACCTCTCTTAGAAAGATAACTGCACCTCCTCCTCCCATGCCGTGGCGCCCGAGTGACACAGTTCGCCTCCGCCCGGCCATCGCCATGCGAGGCTCATCTCCGCCGCCGCTTGTAATTAAATATTATAACGTATTTCTTGGTCCGAGATGCTGCGGCGGGCGAGCGGGGCAAGGAGGCCAGTTGTCTCGGTGGATTTTTGTTTTTTTGTTTGGTTTTGTTTTTGATTATTTATGTGTGTCGGTAGGTAGGCTAGTTGTCTCGGTATATTTATTTTATTTGTTTATTTTATTTTATTTATGTGTCTCGGTAAATAGGCCAGTTGTCTCGCTGGATCTTTTTTTTTTTTTGTTTGATTTTATTTTGATTATTTTACGCGTCTTGGTAAATAGGCTAGTGTCTCGGTGCTTTTATTTTATTTTATTTTATTTTATTTTATTTTATTTATGTTTTCTGTAAATAGGCTAGTGTCTCGGTGTTTTTATTTTATTTATTTTAATTGTCTCGGTAAATTAGTGTCTCGGTGATTTTTATTTTATTTTATTTATTTACGTGTCTCGGTAAATAGGCCAGTTGTTTTGGTGGATTAAAAAAAAATCATTTTGATTCTATTTAATTACGCGTCTTGGTAAATAGGCCAGTGTCTCGGTGGACTTTTAATTTGTATTATTTATTTAAGTGTCTCGGTGGACTCTTAATTTGGTTTATTATTTAAGTCGGTTGATTTCTTTATTTATTTACGTTTTTTTCTTCCTGGCGCGGTGTGAGGATGCGTAGGTTCGCCCTCCAGCGGCGGCGGCGGTATGCGGGCGCAGGCGGTCTTGCAACGGGTCTCGTCCGTGGCCGTGCGGGGACTTGGAGCTGGACTGGGTTGGGGCTGCGGGGACTTGGAGAGCTGGACTGGGTTGGGGCTGCGGGGCCTTGGAGAGCTCGACTGGGTTGGGGCTGCGGGGTTGGGGCGGTTGCCGTGTCGCCGTGGAAAAGTGGGGGAGGGGGGGGGAGGGCATTTCTCGTGCTTGCTCCTTCGTCTCTTACTCCTTCACTCCTCGGTCATCTTCTTTTCTCGCTTGCCTTCCCTCTCCGTCGCTTATTTTTATGCCCCTTCCCTTTTCTTCCATTCTTCTCTCTCTCCTCTCCTCTCCTCTCCTCTCCTCTCCTCTTCTCTCTCTTCTCTTCTCTTCTCTTCTCTTCTCTCTCTTCCTTCCCTTCCCTTCCCTTCCCTTCCCTTTCCCTTCCCTTCCCTTCCCTTCCTTCTCTCTCTTCTCTTCTCTTCTCTTCTCTTCTTTTCCTTCTCTTCTCTTCCCTTCCCTTCCCTTCCCTTCCCTTCCCTTCCCTTCCCTTCCCTTCCCTTCCCTTCCTTCCCTTCCTTCCCTTCCTTCCCTTCCCTTCCCTTTCCCTTCAATTCCTTTCCCTTCTCTTCTTTCCTTTCGTCTCCTCTTCTCTTCTCTTCTCTGCTCTTTCTTCTCTTCTTTTCCCTTCCCTTCATTTCACTTCACCTCTCTCCTTCCCTTTCCTTCTGCGGGTGGCGATGCCCCTTGGATATGCAGTGGTGTGCACGGTAGGGGAGGGGCTGGTGGTGGAGGGGGAGGGGGGGGAAGGGGCGAGAGGGGGGGGGCGGGGTAAGCGTGTAGTCACCGGGCCTCTCTATTACTGCAGCGGCTGTTGACCCACATCTGTGTTTATTTTGTGTTTGTATTTCAGTTTCTTTCCCTTGTCTCTCTCTCTAGTTCCTCCGTTCTTGTTAAGTGTCTGTTCTTTTGTTTATTTTTCGAGTTGGCAACCCTTTCGTGGTGTTTTTTTTTTTTTTTTTTTTTGCGTGTGTGTGCGTGTGTCTCTCTGAATCTGCATTTGTCTGTTTTTCGTTGTGTTTCTTCGTTGCGTAATTCATTTTGTCTCGTCTTTTTATAGTTGTTCAGCCATTTTACTGTTTATTTATCTGTTTTGGACGTTTATCTATGTCTGTATCTATCAGTTTTTTTTTTTCCTTCTGTCTTTACCTTTCTACGGTTATCTGTCTATAAATTCAAGACATTTGTTCGTATATAAATGCAGTTCCTTTTTTATTTTCATATACGTGTCCATTTGTTTTCATTCGCATATTACCTCAAATCTATAACTATTTGGCAGTGCACGATAGGCCTACGTAACTGTGGGAAATTTAAGGCGGAAGGGAGAAGAAGAGAAGGGATAAGAGGAGACATTGCGGGATGGAACGAGGGTACTGGAGAGGAAGAATGAAAGAAGGGAGAATGAAAGAAGGGAGAATGAAAGAAGGGAGAATGAAAGAAGGGAGAATGAAAAAAGAAAGGCTAATGGCAAAATGGAGAGGAAGGTATTGATAGAGGAGTT